ATAATAATGAGGACTTTAATAAGTAGTAATCAAATAAAGACAAAAAAAAGTTAGAAATGTGACATTCGTACCAGCATCAAAGTAAAAGAACTTGAAAACAACAGTCATTCTTTCTCACCGTTTTTTTAAATTTTTTCTTCTATTTTATAGCTTTATACTAAGGGAGTAGCAAAATTTTGATTGGTCTTATTCCCATCGTCATCTTTGCTGTCGCCATCCTCATTTCTGTAATCATTGTCATCAGCTGCAACAATAACTTAGTTGTAAATGGAGAGGGGAAAGGAGGGAGGGATAGTGGAATGTACGGGGAGAGCGGCCATAAGGAGGGTGATTGAGGTGCGATGTGAGAATAAACAAAAACAGTCAGTATATATCATTAGTTTTGAGACTTCCTTCTTTTTTTTTTTGGTTGCCCAATCGACAACAGGACGATGACTTCGATCATCTCGAAGAAATTTCGTATTTGTTTGTATGTGAAGTTGCGTGTCTGTTTGTCCGTTTCTGTGTCTGTGTGCTGGCAATAAAAGCGGGAATGTCGCAAATGTACAGCCAAAGTGGTGGTTGGCGATGTCGTCGATGATGGCGGTGGTGGTGGAGATGGAGATGACCAGAACGGCAGAAGGGAAGATGAAGGAGAAGACGAAGAAGGAGCGTAGAGACCCCTGGTTAACAACAACAGCAACAAAATATACACAACTACACATAACGTATACCCCTACCAACTGACCACCATTACCACTGTCTTCTCGCGACTAATCTGTGGTGCTGACTTCGATCGGCTTCTTCGTCAGGCTTTTGTACGTCGTTGTTTCGTTAGGTGTACAATAAACTAACCCAACAATAGCCTAAATTCATAGTTGTAGCAAACAATATAGCAACCTAACTGGCGACTAAATACAACAATAATACACTTGTAGTTGCATTACTTTTTTTGGGCATACAATTTTTGGATTTTTTATGTACTTAATGAGAACAGACTCAGGCCTGTATTCTCCAGTTTCACTGTTTTCGACAACCGACAGTTGCTATATATCACAGTACTCTTATATACCACTATTACTACTACTACTACCACTACTACTACTACTACTACTACTACTACTACTGCAGTTACGAGTTGTGCGCAAATGCGGACACTTTTTTTAAACAGTATAATGAAGGAGATTTTTCTTGTTTAGTTGTTTCGTTTTTTTTATTTATTTTTCTTTTTATAACAATCTTATTACTGTTTTTATCGTATTTTTTCTTGTTTAATAAACATTTACTTGTTAGCTGGATTAAATTATCTTCGCACTACATCTGTGGAAAGACTGTACATTATAATTTCTTGACGGCTGTATTTCATATATTCTTTAAACTTTTTAAAAAAATATTTCAGTATAGTTTTTATTGTTTATACCTCTTTCTTTACTGCTTTCTTCTTCAGTCTTTTGGATTCTTAAGATAACCTTATAACATAAGAAGATTAATTCTAACTCTTTTCCACATTCTTTTTCTTTTTTAAAATTACTTTTTTAGTTGGTGTGGCATAAATTGTTGTTACAGTAGTACTCAAAGTATTACCTTTTTACTTAGGGTAAAATAAGTAGATAACGTGATGTTAATTGGTGTTTCGAGTGGTTCTAAAAATACCTGGACATTTAGAAAAATGATAAATTCCGTAGTAATGGTTGATATATTGACTGCAACATTAACGTTCTTTTATCTTTCAGAAATATCTATTCATCATTTCAATATCGTCATTCTTTCTTTTCAACAAATTAAATAGTGCAGTTGTTTTCTGTTCGAATTAATAGATAATAGTTTATAGCATAAAGTCAGAAAAAAACTGTTGCTCTCTTGAAACAATCTCGGAATTTTTAAGCCTTTAAAAGCATATTATATGTTTTTGTAAGCCGCTTATGTTTTGGGTCACTAAGTTTTTGGGTTACATTTACCGCTGTAGCTGAAAAACATCAGTCTTCTGAGATTTGGTTGAGAGAAACGAACGGTGTCATCCAGTAATGAACCCTCTGACCCTCTAGTTGACATTTTGGCTACATTTAAGATTCCTTTTGCTGGATTTTTGGCTTCTGCTTTTACTTCACAATAACATTTTCAGCGTTTACCTTTCTCCGAAATTATTTTTTAATTAACCCTTTTAATTTATAGCTGTAACCAACGATACAAATCTGATAGTAGGACATTTTTCTGTTCAGGCTTCTGCAGTTTTTTAGAGTAAAATTTCTGTAAATAATACCATTTTTGTAGTTTTGCTAGCTTGAAGTACTGCTATTTATTAAGTTAGTTAACTGACTAATCTATCAGATGGACATAAAAATCTGATGAGCATAATGATGCAAACAGTGGTGCAGAAAAAAAAAGAAAACTAAATTGACATCGTGACGAAGTGGCCTCTGTTGCTCTGTTAAATACTGGAAATTTTTTGAGAGTTTATAAAAAATATTGAATTCTTTGGGTGGTTTGTAAACAAAATATTAACTTTTACTGTTAGTTAAGCATACAGTGGACAAATAACTACAATATAGTGGTAATGACGGTGATGGTAATGGTGACGATTATGATGATTATGATTGTGGTGATGATGATGATGATGACGGTAATGTCGACGATGGTGACAAGGGTGATGACAGTGGTGGTGATGATTATGGGTAAAGGATATAACTTTATACAGTTTAAAACGAGCAAAGTTGAACTGTTGTCACTGTCATCATTCATTCATCAACATGAAATCTATTTTTCATCTTAATGTTGACCTTTCACCTTTCTTTTCCACTGCTTCCAAGTTAGTAGCACTTGTTTCAGGGAGGAAAAGAGTGGAAATTTTTTCGCTTTTTTTTTTTTACAATTGCGGTTTTGAACTTTATTTTATTATTTGTTGGATATGGTGGTAAACTGTTCATGTGACATGATGGAGGCGATTTGATGAGAAATGAGGGTACTGAAGTAACTGTTTATCAAGTGTTGTATTATTCGATGCGACAGTTAATGAAGTTAATTCATCGTCCACTGAGGATCGCTGTTTGTTCATCAAAAAAAAATTTGCATATAGATTTGTATTTTGTATGAGTTTCGTAAAAATGAATGATTTTTTTTGTCTTTTTTATTCACTTTGCTTGATTACTTCGTTCTTTTTTTTTTTTTGATTTTGATGGATAGTTGGATACGATAAACGTCAAATTCGTTGAAGAAAAAAATAACAACAAGAAGAAAAATTGCACAAACTATGGAGCAATTTAGGAAAATTGTTTAATGAAATTTTTATTTCGATTTTTTCCGGCTTTGTTCTTTAGTTTTTTTTTTTGTTGTTGTCTTTTGATTTCGGGTGAGTGAAAAGATTTGTAGATAAGGAATGAAAAAAAATCCAGTCGATAGGCGTTCGGAGTTCAGAACAGTCATAATTTTTTGATTTCTTGTCTCCTAATTTTTTTTTATTTAGTGTCATTTTACTGCTGTTAGTTGTCAAAACAATTCATTTATTTTTATAGCTAATGTTGAAATGGTGATGACAAAAGGATGTTGTGAATGGAGGAGGGAGAATGAAAAAGAGGTGAAGGTGAAGGATACTTGGTGAAGGAAAAAAAGCTGTTAAGCACTTTCAATCTGCTGACATGGATTGTCTTTTCATTGAGTGTACAAATATAATTAAATAGGTAAACAAACAATTTAGTCTGAAATTGTTTAATTGGGTTTTTTTTCTTCACCTTCACATCTAATTTTTTTAATGTTATTTGTCGGAAGTGTTGACAGCAGTGGCCAGCTGAGGTGAGAGGAAGAAACAGTTGACTATTGAAGACTTGGTTGGTATTATGGTCGACAAACTAAAGCTGTCTACTAAAGCTATGAATTTAATGACTTTTGTCTGGTCATATGCAGCAAAAAAAACAGTAACAGTTTGATTCTTCGAATGGATTTATGCACATTGCGTTTAACGAATTAATAATGTAGTTCAAAAACTAAATTGTATTACTGTAATCTGTTGTTTCAAATCGTTCTTGAAACGAGTTTCTTCTACTTTTGAAAAAACAGCAGTACTAACTGTATTGAAAGTTTATAGCTGAAAATCAACATTTTGAAGGGTATTATATTATTATGATTTTTTTTTGCATAAATTCAACAAATTCTTTGATTAGCAGATAATGTTAATACTGTGAAATTATTGTTTTTTAAGCTATAGACTGGAAATTGTTCAAGTGCCTGATTTACTCCTCCCCCCTCCTCCCCCCCCCGCCTTATCGGTTTAGTGAATTGTCAAAAACAGCAAAACATCTCGGAACACCAAAAAGAAATAATGCATAGAGTGCTGTGTACCATTCTGATCGTTCAGACTGATAGCCTCGTACTTACATTCAGATTTAGTTGACTAAGTGAAAGGCTGATTATTTCATGTTATAGAAGCACTGTAAGAATTCGTTGAACTTTCTAACAATCTTTGTATAAATATTTTATTGAACTGAACAATTAAGCCACAATAAATTTTATTATGCTGAATAATTTGTGGGTACAAATTTTTACAGCCATTTATGATACTTATTAGCCGTACACCTACTGCGAATTGCCTACAAATACATCGGTAGTTTTTAGATAATTACTCTGTGTTGTCACTCTCTTGTTTTTTTTTTTTT